CAGATTCACAGAAGCAAATATGTGAATATATGAACAGAAGATACTTAGAAGGAAACAAAGAGAATGGCCATCATAACCTCAGTTTCCTTTTACCGCATAATAGCGGGCCTAGAAGAGGAATACTAATTGTCCTGTATCTTTACTTGAAATAATCACTTGAGCCAATGTTCTATGTTTTATTCCCTGAGAAGACAAGGGAAAGACATTTTAGCAGAAACTACTAGCAGGTGTAGGCACACTAGCAGGTGTAGAGCATGGAGTGTCTGTACTGGAAGTTGTAAACAGTAGGTCAGGCAGATACCTGTTGGGAATTTAACTCATCCTGCCAGGAGACAGAGAAAGGATCGCAGCTTTCCCACCATAGATGCTACAGATTTGAAACTGCAAGTGACATTCTGATTCAGAAATCAGGAGAGAAAAAAAAAAAAAAAATCTATCTGAGGCTACTTCAAGGGAACATACAGTGACCAACAGTTAGGGACAATAGGCAACTTACCTTTGATAATACTATGCTTACAAACAGATGTAAGGTAGGCATCTTGACAACAGCTACAGTTAGGGATGAAGTAGCTGCCTAGGTAAACCATTGAGTTACTGTGTCAGTCTTTGCAGTTTCACCAGCTGTTGGGGATCTTTTTTTAGGCACATAGCTAACTTTGAAACATTGTTTCTCATGGCAGAGGCCCCATGAGAAAACCACTGAAGATGTTTTTAATACTGTCATTGAAGAATTGTATCCAAATAGAAATTACTGTGTGTCTGTTATGGTCACTGCATCTCTAAACAAACATTCCATCCCATCCGCCTGGAAATGCGTAGCTGCAGGCTCTGTAGCTCACCAAGGTAACTGTCCTATGGGGCAGGAAGGGACTGTGTGACTTAACTAGGTGCATGTGGGTTTGTATTGTGGTTTTTTTTTTTCTTTTGTTATTTTTGGGTGGGTTTTTTTGTTTGGTTTTTTTTTTTTTAATATAGGAACAATTACAAGTCAATTAATCCTAAAAGTACTAAGAGAGGAAGTACCTTTTGAGTGATAAACATTGTGGGGATTTTTAAGTGAAACATAAACCCCCATCCACCTTGGGGCTATAGATCTATTCTTAATCCTGCAAGCCATACAAATCTTCACTAACTGCATTTATCTGCAGTTATCAATGATGCTGTAATTTCTTTTTTAATTCCTGAATCTGAGATTTGGTTTTGTTTTGACTTTGGACCAGATGACCTCTGATCACAGAGGTTCTGTGATTCTAAATAGCTGTTCTGAATGTGAAATATGGATACTGGAAACTTCATTTACATATGTTAATTGGTTTTGGTTTTTTCACTTGCAGATTATTATACAGTTGTTATCACATGTGCTGTATGTTTTTCACTGATGTTAGCTGGTGCCTTGAAGTGTGTGCATGCAGGAGGCTATATTCTTCAAAATAAATCACTTCCACATACTTTGGTATGTATTAATTCTCATTTTTAACCTTCCTGTTTGGGAGGAGGAAGTTTTACCCTCTGAAATTTCTAGTCCTGTTCATTAGGTACGAGTTATATAAGTACATATGGTTTAATTTGCAGTTTACATGTGTCAAAGATAGAACAGACAAGATTCAGCAGCCTGTAGGCTATGGAACAAATATTCAGGCTTTTTCAAAACCATTTCTTGCTACTTCTGTGGCAAGTTACTAACAGATAGAGATCATTCCACCCTACTCAGCATTTGTCAGGCCACACCTGAAGTATATCTGTTTCTGGTCACCGCAGTGCAGGACAGATTTGTACAGAAACCTGAGTCTACTGAGTAACATCACCAGTAGCTTCTCAGTCAAAGGAAAAATGCTACTAGAAAAATCTACTGAAAGTAGATATACTCTGCAAGTCCCCAACCTTTCAGTTTCACAGGTGTCTCATACTGTAGATTGGAATGCAGTTATGTGCAAATATGTCCCTGCCAGAAAAGTATCCTACTTGTTACTTCCAGAATTGTTACTAGCAAGTTCAGGATCATTTCTCTGGGTCACCTGTCTTCTTTCTTCCATCTCAGTAATGTTTTTTTACTGTATTCTGATACACACAGGTGATAGTGAATGCCTGATTAGTGATACACTTAGTAGAAAAAAAAAAGGGTATTCATATGCAAGTTACCGCTGCTGGAACCTAGAGCTAGGCATAGCACCTTAGAAACTAACTCCTGGACCAGGCTGTTGGGATCTACCCAAATAGTGGAGTTGAATGAAAATAAAAAGCAAAGGAAAAGAAACAGTGTGGCTCTGGAAGAAAACATACTTGAGCTGGGGACTGGGGGAAGGAGGTGCACGTACAAGCAGATTGGTATCAACTCCTTGTGTTTCTGTCCTTTGCTGTGTCCTTACCTTCACATCTGTAAAATTGCTGAACATGACTTTGACAAGTAATGTCTAAGGTTATTTTTTTAATTATTTTTGGCATTTCCCCCCAGTGCTTTGAACTTTCAGCAATCCAGGGAGGTGCAGAGTAAAGCTGAGCCCTGAAGTCTGCAGAAAAAGCCAAAAATGTGGCACAGAAGGAATACTTTGTTTGACAACCTTGTGACTGAGGGTTTTTTCATATTTTGCATATGTGCAAATTTGTCTGATTTTTTTTTTTTTTTTTTTTATTCATTTTGTTCTTTTAGGTATTCATCAGGAGGTTAGCCTATCCACCTTGGACATTTGAATCTGAAAAAATAGCCTCTATAGAGATCATTTACAAAGAGGCTAAAAAAAGGGCAAATAATTCCAGTGGTGGTGTCAGTGATGAAGACGAGAGTGATGACAGTGATGTCATAAGTAATCATGACTATACAAGGCGTGATATCTTAAACAGAGTACCTCATTCCTCTGACGTACCAGATGCATCCATGCAGTACTCTGCAAGTAGCATGTGTGATGACAGCAGCAGCCAGGCAAGTGAAAATCCGAACACTGACCCAGAAGATGTTGAAGAGCAGGAATCGGACATTGAAGAAGACAAAAACACAAGTTGTGAGTTACTTAATCCTTTCTCTGAGGCAAATTGTAACTATTCTTCAAGGCCAAAGGACAGTGCTTGTTTTACCATTAACTTAAAAACTGTGCTGTTGGGAACCTCTGAAGAGAATGTGGATAGTTCTGCAGCTCTTCTTTCTTCCCAAGAAGATGCAGCTGATTGGCAATGTACTCACGCTGTTGAAGCAAAACTCCTGGATGACACAGAAAGTGTGCAGAAACCCCACTGTCATAACAACTCTCACGAGTGGCAAAACTCTTCTGGTGATGAAAGTGACTCATCAGATTCAGATATGTACCAAAAAAATGAATACATAAGAAGATGAACAAATAAAAACCACTATTGTTTTATGACATACAAATCAATGTTGCCCAACAACATTGATTTATGGACTCAACATACAGATCTTCTGTTTGTTTTTTTAACATTCTGTGAGTATATGCCTGAACATTGAAAATACACAACATGCATATTTAACAGCTATTTTTTCTAATCTCACCAGGTATGGTTCAGGTTGGATGAGCCACAGAGAAACAAAAATGAGTGTTCAGATGCAGCAGAGTAGTTACTTCATTTTGCAGTTGGATAGTGAACTATACCTTTTAGCTGTTCCAAAGCAAGTATTTCCTGTAACTCAAGTGCGAAGTTAGTTTGCAGTATAGGGCCTGTGAGTGGATGGTTCCTCAACTAGACCACTTTTTTTCCTTTTTTTTTTTTTTTCTTTTTTCGTTAGCGCTGTTGCTGGATTACTCTGGAACCTGTTTTGCTGGATGGATTGCTGTGTTTGAGTCAGAGAACTGAGTTCTACATTTGTGCAGAGAAACCTGGTCAAGTGAAATAATGGGGACAGAAACAAGAATATTCAATCTTACAGAAGAGTTCTTACTGTGAATGAAGGCATTAAATATACCGTTTTATATATTTTTAGTATAATTATGTGCAATTATTGAATACTACACTTTAAAAATGTTTTTATGATGTTAAACTGTACACTGTAGTAACTGTTAAACATTTGTGCTTCATAAAATGAAAGTTTTTTCGTATCCCTGTCTAAATTTTTACTGTGGCTCTTACATGCTACATGATTATGAGCATGTACTCCTTATACTTCTAGGTATCACACCGCTGGAAAAAAAAAAACACCCAGCTTTTCTCACCTGGTGTTGCTCTGTTTAGGTACTGGTTTTCTTGCCCCAGTTTAGTAACCACAGCAGTCAGATATTCATTTGGTCAGGATAGCTGAGACCAGTTTCAGAGGTGCTGGAATGTACGCTGCTGCTGTACCTGCTTAGTTCAGAACAAAGTAAGTGTAAGTACCTGGTATCTTGAATCTTGAGTAGCTAATTATTTGCAGATTTACACATCTGTAGCATTCGTAGATGAAACCTGCACTCACACTTACCCTGCGCCACTGGGTGCAGCTGGTGTGCATATCTCCACAGTGGTTGGTTCCAGGAAAATTGTTCACATGTAAATGAAGGCTGGGGGGCTGTGTGCAGGCCCATTTAACGACAGGAGGTGACAGATGGGCTGGAAAAAAAGTCTATTAAACCCTCACAAAGAATTGGCATTTTCAGTTGGTGACATTAATCAGTTGAGAAACAACTGGTTTTTCTCTGTGATTAATAAAAATGCTCCCTCCTTCCCCCAAGTTTATGCTGATTTTGATCAGGGATGCTAAATGGTCTGGTAGAAGTACTAGTGTTGGCATCTGGTGCGGGCCAGATCCTGAAGATAAAAGGCAAACCTTTCCTCAGGTAACATTTGTACTGACTGCCGAGGAAATTTCACTCAAGGTCAGGTTTGACGCTGTTCATCGTCTGGCCTCTGTCTATGTGTTATTTATCTATCTATCTATCCACTTTGTAACGAGCTCCCACGTCCTGCCTTCCGAGCTGCCCGCCTGAAGATGCTCTTTAGCGATCCTAAGTATCCGAGCAGCCAGCACCGCCGAGATACTTAAAGCACAGTGCCCATGAGCCCCCGGGAAGGTTTCAGGAGCTGGATGTGCTTCTGCTGGAAAGGCTTTGGAACCGGCGGGGTGAGCCGGCCGCGGTGCAGGCCGTGTCCCCTGTTGCTCGGAGGCTATCAGCCCCGCTGGCGGAGGGTTGAGCCCCGCAGCTGGGGGCGGCAGCGGAGCCGTACACCGCCCCGCCCCGCAACGGGAAGACGGAAGGGTTTCGGGGCAGCCCCGCTCCTCGTCGGAGAGGGCAGCACCCGGTGCCATGGCGCGACTTCGCTGGCAGCCCCACTGCTGAGGGAACCCCGCGCCGGGAGCCGCCATGGCCGCCCTTCGGTCTGCCCTCTGTAGCTGCCTCCTGCTCTGCGGTGAGTCCGCCCCAGGCCCGGCGGGGGACAGCGGTGGGTTGCGGCCCCCTCGGAAGAGCGACCGTCCTCCCGCGGGGAGCAAGGGGGGAGGCGGCGGCGGGGGTCTCTAGAAGCGGCCGGCTTTGTCCTCCGGGGCCACGCTGCCTCGAGATTCCCAGGACCGGCTACTGCGCGGAGGGCGCCGAGGCGCCGGCTGGCTCCCAGGTGCCGCTGCCGGCGGGCTTTCCCCCACCTCAGAGGCTGTATCTGTGCAGGGAAACTGAAATTGCCCTTTGGACGCTGGTGCAAGTCCCGATGGTGAAAAGCGTGTGTGGAAGAGAAACCACGCTCATACAGGCGCAACGAGCTTGGCGCGGGAGCAGCGCTGCCTGAGCTGCCGGCACGGGCTGGGCTGCTCCGGCAGCAGACACTCAGCGGGGACGGCCACGCGTTCCCCAGACAGGCCGTGGCCGAGGCTGGGGTGTGCTATGAGCAGTGTACAAACCTCCCGCTTACAAAGTGTAAACCCACAGAAGTATATTCTCATCAATTTGGGTCCGCAGTGCCCAGTAAAAAATTGAGCTGGAGGCTTTTCAAGTAGGAAACACCATCTGGGAAGCGAACCTTCCAAGGCATCACGCTTACTGGGGATTTACCATCCCAGCTTCGGAGGGAGCTTCCTCAAAATGTAGGCAGCGCCCTAGCAAGGGTTCTTCATAGCAAGGACCACATCGTAGGGGACAGGAAAAGTCAGAGGCCTTGTACTAGCCAGATTTTCTTCAGCTGTGTTGTTTACACTGGGGCTTTGCAGTCCATTGTTACCTGCGCCCATCTTCCTTAGCGTCCTGCACACCTGGGGTTTTGCAGGGAGGAGACCATGTGGGAGCAGGAGGCTGGAGGTGCCTGCAGAGGGGCACAGTGTGTGCTCGGGCAGAGATCTCTGAAGGAGAGTGCCCGAGGTTGGTATGGGCGAGGGCATGTTTGTACAGGGATGGCATCTCTCGAGAAGGCTGAGGTGCAGGGAGGCAGGCAACTTCTGCTTTTATAGCTCGAAGTGCATTCAAGTTGATTTGTTGGGTGCAAGGCAAACATTGCAGGAATTGAGTCTGTGAAACAGTTTTTATTTAAGCAGGGTCTCGATTCAAAAATCGTCTGCTAAAGGTGGGTAAGCAACACATTAATTTCATGTATTTATGCATCAACTGTAGACATACAAGTTATTTATCTTAGAACGTGTGTCATTAGGTTTTATTCCTATGACATTTAAGCACTAGTCTGACCTGATGGGGATTTCTTTGCCTTTGCAAGTACGGGCCAAAATCTGTTTGATTTTAGTTTCAATATCAACAACTATTTTAAAATAATTAAATCATAATAGTAATGGTCTGTTCATCAATACTAACTTAAGAATTTCCTTTGTTCGGTTTCAATAAAGCAAGATAATTTTGTCTCCATCACTTGTGAAGAGTGCCAGTTAATGTTATATAGTGTATTTAATGGCTCTCTTGCCTTCCAAGGTAGTTTGTGTTTATCTCTTTTTCAAAAGGGTGGTTGAATAACAGCATATATAACAGCAGTGCTACTCCATGCAGTGATGACACAAACATGCTTATGGTGGGTGGATTTTTTGAATTATTTCAGCGTTATACACAGGTCTATGTATAAAGACTGTTCATGTTCCTCTTAAAAATAAAACCAAAACCAGCACATCAATCCCCACAGCTGTGTTATTTCCATAGTGCTAGTGAAAACAACTGATTTTGACAATCTCAGTGAGAGTTCATCCATGTAGCTTTATGGGCCCTGAGTCTTAGGCAGTAACAAGTTAGTCATGCATAATAAATGATGATATCATGAAGACTGCACTTACTGGAAATCACTGATGCTGGCTAACTTGTTTTTGTTGCACAAGGTCACAAGGAAGGGTATGCATCAGGATTAAAATTAATCACATTAAAGTCTGTTTTAAAAATGTTTCTGAGGGAAGGTAGAGAAAGGAGGCTGTATTTAAGTTATGGATGATTGAGAAGTGGGCAGAGGAACATATACTAAAATGTTTGTTTGGTTTTGATTGCTCCCACAGTATCTGGAATAGTGCCAAAACCCCAAAACACAAGGATTACTTCAGTTAATCTTCGTAGCATTTTACAATGGGATGCACCTAGGTTTTACAAAGGGAATATAAGTTACACTGTCCAATCTAAGAGGTAAGTGTGGAAAGCTTGCTTTCTTTAGTCCATGTTTTATGGCTGCATGTGTTGCACACCGGATGAGGCTTCTTCATTACATCTACACGCAGAAGTTCCAAGGTAGTACACTCCCAGTTAGTGGTTGGTCAGTAATCTACAATGATTGGCTCTTAGATTCTCTGTTTAAAGGCACAGTATGGATTTCTTTCACTACACGTTTGTGAGTAAGGGTCTCTGTGGGCAAGGGTCTCTTATCTCAAGGGGGTGTGATTTTTAGTATTATAATGGAGGCAGTTCCCTTCAGTAATGCCTCGAAAGTTAGTTCCATTGCCAGCTTCTTGTTAATGAGATATATGTCATTGGTCTGAGGATGTTACCCTCCTCCGGGGCCCTTTGGCCTTTGTTCATTCAGTCATCTACTCAAAACAAGACAGTTCTTCTAAACCTTGACAGATATTCACATAGTTTCTCCTGCGGTAAACTTCGATCTTCCTACTGCAAACCCAGCATTAAAGGCAGCTTTGCACATACTTCTTTTGGAACCAGAAACACATTTTAATGTTGGCTGTTATTAGCTGTCTGTGTGTTTTTTTTCTCTATCATGAAGCTGTTACCTGTGATTCAAAGACTTAGTCCTGCAGAGTGTTCAGGACTTTATCTGATCTTTCACTCCAGTAGCAGTTTGTTCTCTGCCCCCAATGCAGTCAGCTTGCCTGTGCCCTTAGTGGAAATGCCTGATGAACTGCAGGCTGGTGGCTCATCCATTCAGTGCCTTAAACTTGGGACACATTTTCTGAGGTCTCCTTTTGTCATTTTTGGTGGGTTGATTTAGCTTTGATTTGGTTTTGGCACTGTGTCGTTCCGAGTTGGTCCTTCGTGTTGGGAAAAGTGGTCTGTGCAGCTGAACCAGGGAAGGCGGCCACTTCCCCAGCGCAGTGGTGGGCTCCATACCTGCCTCTGTGCTTGGCAGCAAAACTGTGTGGTGGGGCAGAAGTCTTGTGTTCCTGCCGAAAGTTGAATTCTTTGGCCAAGACAAGGTAAAAGCCAAGACAGGATGTAAAGTGGAGATGGTGGTGCCCACAGGCAGGAGCCTTTGAGGGAAATCCCCCGTCTTAGTTGAATGAAGATTTTCCTGGGTTCTGGTAGCAAATACCTTTTGATCACTACATTCCTGCATGGGCTTTTGATGCAAACCAGAAATAGTATCATGTACTGAATGGTTGCAGTGAGTTTTCAGGCTCTGTTTTCTCAGGCTGTTCCTTATATGTGTATCTAAAATTTTCTCTGGCTTTTCCTTATACGCATATCTTAAAGACAGTTCTGAACAAAGTCCAAGTTAGACAGCAAAGCCATGCATAGCGATGCTGTCTTGATATTTGCAGACTTGTCTGATAACTACTGCCTGTTGAATCAAGGCAGTAAATGTCAATAAAAGGGCACCTATTTACTGTATCATAATTTTAATCTCTAACTTTATCATGGCTTAATAGATGCATATAAAATACTCAGTGTGTGTGTACACACTAGTAATGGTGTTTCTTCTACACTGGATCCAATTTTTCTTGTTCATGAGTCATAACTGGTTGTATTAACAAACAGATATTGCACTTTTCCAGTTAACTGAGAGGAAATATATTTATTCATGTATAATATAAACATCATAGCCATGTTGTTTCTCTTCCACACAGCATCAATTTACCTGGAGACACATACGAAAATGTGAGCACAAATTTGAGACTCACAGAGTGTGATGTCTCTTCTCTGTCTGCATATGGAGACTACATTTTACAGGTCCGAGTGGAGTCAGAAAATGACCATTCAGACTGGACGGCCATCAGATTTAAGCCAATGGATGACAGTAAGCATTTTTGTAATCTTCAGGAAAATCCACCATATTGCATGCTATTAATGCACCTTTACAGTTTGACTCCATAAGAAAACCTATAGCATGCAGATAATTTTTAAATGTAATTACATTGAACAATAGAACCTTAGTTGTAACATTTCCAGTTTTTGAAGGCAGAAGTTGCTGTCAGAAGGCACTGTAGATTCACTATAATAGCTAGATGATAGTATTGGTACTTGAAACCTCTTTTGAGGAGGTTTTCAAAAATGTATCTTTCCCTTAAAACGAGGGTCATATCAAAACAAGGGTCATATATATTTTTCAATCAGGGAGATTCAATCTGAGCCAAGGATTCAGATGTCCTGTATATCTCAGTAAGTTCAATTACTTTCTTTTTCATTGCTATGCCAGGCAAAAAGCTTTCTTTCATTTTTTTTGTTGAAAATGTCACAGAGAAAGGTTGATTTTTAGGTAAGAAATCTTCATTACACAATACTGCCATTCTTTTAGAGAAGCTTGACAGTCTTTCATGAGAAGTGATTTAGGCATTGCCTTGCATTAGAGTGTACAACGGAGATGTTAATCATGTTGCTGTCACCTGAGCTTGGGAATGAGAGGGTGGTTTTTACCAAGTATTTTGTTTTGTACGTTCTTACTCCACTCATAAGCAAAAATCAAATTATTTTAGATTACATAGTTAATGTTACCCAAGACTTTTTCCCCTCACAGCTGTTAATACAAAACGATTCATGAAGTTTCTGTTGCATCTCATATTTGAGAAAAAACTTTACATTTCTTTTTCTTCTCCTGTTCTGCCTCCATTTGCTGAAATTTCATCATTCTGTTCCTTGGATTTCAGAATGCAATTTTACAGTTTACAGCTTTGTTTTTCAAGATTCTTTTATTACCTCTCCAAAAGTGTAATGTTGATATAATTTAATCTGCCTATAAGGGAGCACTGAAACATAGTAACATCAACATTGCAAGTATGAGCTACAGCCAAAAGAAGATGTAATACAAAAAGCATGGGTGGATTTTCAGAGTAGAGAGCAAACTTGTAAATCATTAACAGAGTTGTAGTTTGACATATAATTGAAATAGTGTGTGGCCTTCAGAGCAGGCTTGGCTTTGGAAAGGCAGCTTATTCCTGAATGGGAAACTCTAGGTATCAAACTACTTGAAAAGAACTACCTGGGAGTACTGGCCAAATCTCTGAGGAGGACATGAGTATTTTTAAGGTCGCCATAACGGATCTGAGCAGGGTATCATGATCAAAATGTCTGATATTCCTTTCTGTGTTACTATTCCTATTAGCGCTTTTTTACTAAATTCCACTCTGTATTATAGGAATAGCCTAAGAAAAGCAGAGCAGCCAAGACCCTCCTCACATTGTTTTTTGTAAGCTCAACAAACCATTCATGACCTTGCATGAATGTATGGTTCAGCGAGCAATTTGTCTGAGGCTTTTTATTATTATTTTTAATTATAGAAGCACATATTTCTAGAGGAATGCAAAATCATCTTTTTTGAGCTTTTCCTTTCTTAGACCCTTTATAGCGTGACTGCAGCCAGGCAGAACTTTGGTGAGGCAGCCAGGGTAGAGATTTTTGCTGGAATTATAGGAGACTTTAATGGAGAGCTCATTTCTGACTAAGGTGAAGTCATGAAATAATTTAGGTAGCTGCACAAAAACATAATGAGGAAAAGCCATTTACAAATGGCAAGAATATAATATTCAGTCTAAGGAGTACAAGAAATGTAGAAATAATTCAAATGCTTCAGTTTTTCAAAATTATCACAATGAAGGAAACATTTAAACACTTCACTAGAGGTCTCCTCAGAAAAGACAGATGTTGCAGCAGCTTGGCCGAGAAGGAGAAGTGAGTAATAACCTATAGAAATAGTCCTTCCGCTCCCAGGAGTCACACAGCTGGCAAAAGGGAACTGAGTTAATTTATTCTATGGGAAATGTAGTCTGCAGTAGCATCTGTTACCTAACGGCAAAAATAAATCCCTTTCAAAAGCAATTCTGTAAGGAAAGGATTTATTTATGCCTGATCCATGATAGGAAATAACTTTTTTTCTGATAAAATTCTTTAAAGCATGACTTGTGATGGGTTGTATAAAAATGTCAAACTGAAAACAACATGAAACTGAATTCTGTTCTTCTCTTCCACTGTTCTCATGTATAGCCATCATTGGGCCACCTGACGTAAAAGTGAAGTCAGAGTCTGGGTCTCTGCATGTGGATTTCATAGGCCCTTTTGCTGAGCGTGACAACTGGCCTCTGAAGCAGTATTACGGTTCATGGAATTACAGGATACTGTACTGGAAGAAAGGCAGCACTGCTTCCGGGGTATTGTGACTCCATGATTTTGATTCTTGCTTTTCTTGGTAAAGTACCATACTGATGAAGTTCTGAAAGCTAACAGTGCTGAAATAAAAATGTATGTCTGCTAACTAGTGTAAGAAAGTCTAGTCACTACAACTGCTATTCGGAGCAAATGACAGCTGTGTAGTTAAACAGTAGCATTGATATCATTTGCTCTTTCCATAATTAGAACTAACTGCTACATTATGAGACTTTGTTCTCTCAGTTCAGTGATGTGTTTATCTGCGATGCAGGCTTCCTCATCAAATCCCTGAATTTCATACATACAAGCAAGGGTAAATTTAGAAGCTGTAATGTCAGCAGTGTCTGTGATCATGGTTACAAACTGACTTAGATTCAAATCCCATGTCATTCAAGTGTTTGTGTTCTTTGTGGGACTTTGGGCTTTGAATACCACCATGCATGAGGCTTTATATTAATTGTGGTCACCTTTACCTCTTCAGTTTCCATAAGTTGTAATTTGCTTCCTTCCTCTCATGGACAGCCTCTTCCACAGACAGATGTGTTACTCAGCTTCCCACAGAATGCATGAAGAAAGATCATAAATAATATATTAATTATAGGTCATAGGTTCTATTACAGGAAAAAAAGGAAGCCCTTTACTGGAAGATACCAGTCACAGTGTAATTAGTGCTTTGTACATCAGCAAATTTTCATATAATAGGACTCCACCACATATAATTGTGATTTGTATTTGTTATCCTGGAAAAATTCTTAGGCATTCAATTGCAGGAAATGAGGGATCATCATTTCCAAAAAACAGACTACAAGAAGTGAAGGTATTTCTGCATACGGGATGCAAACTTAGGCAAATATACAGAGAAAGTGAGAGGTTCAGGTATAATCTGTGCTTATAACACCTCAGAGCAGAAGTCTGGGAAATTTTATAGGAATCAAAGAAGCAGAAGGCATAGACTATGTAACTTCATAGGTTGTTTTTCAAATAAATCCTTGCTTATAACGTTAAAACTTAGCTATACAGTCTCCTCATCCCTGAGAAAAAAGCTGTTACTGCATAATGGGCATCCTCTAGGAGCTCCTATACTCTTCAGGAACCCTATAGTTGCATGGACATAACCAGTCATGCCTCTAAACAGCAAGTTGCGTCTGCTGGCAGTCACCTAATAGCAGCCAGAAAGTCAGTGATGTGAATGGTCTCAGAGCGACCACAGCTGATACCCAAGTAGAGTTATCAGCTATTTGACACAGGCAGGGAATCTCATTCTGCCTTTAAAAGCCTTGTTCACATTGCAGCTACAGCTGCTGGGATTTGTCCTACTAAATTATGAGATGTCCTACTAAAGGATGATCAGAGGGCTGGAGCACCTCTCCTATGAAGACAGGTGGAGAGAGATGGGCTTGCCCAGCCTGGAGAAGAGAAGGCTCTGGGGAAGCGTTGTAGCAGCCTTCTAGTAACTAAAAGATGCCTAAAAGAAATCTGGAGCGGGGCCTTTTAGAAGGGCAGTAGTGATAGGATGAGGGGGGATGCCTTTAAAACTGAAAAACGTGAGACTTAGATTAGACATTAGTAAGAAATTCTTTACTGTGCAGGTGGCAAAAGTTGCCCAGAGAAGTTGTGGCTGCCCGATCCCTGGCCAGTGCTCAAGGCCAGGTTGGACGGGGCTTGGAGCAACCTGGTCTCGTGAAAGGTGTCCGTGCCTGCAGCAGGGGGTTGAGACTGGATGATCTTAAACCCAGACCTTCCAACCCAAACCATTCTGTGATTCTAAATGTAATTGTAATTACTTAGCCAAATGACTGGACTCATGCTTTTCTTTTTTTTTTTTTTTGTATTCTCTGTTATTAGGTAGCTCATGTAGACACTAAACATAACACTGAAATCCTCTCTCAGTTGGAGCCATGGACGATATATTGTATTCAAGTGCAAGCAGTTATCCCCGAGTGGAACAAAACAGGGGAACTGAGTGAAGTGCTGTGTGAGCAGACAACCCACAACGGTAATACCGGGTGCAGCGCTGAAGGACACACACTGTAGGGAGCTGGGAAATGTGTAGAGCCATTCAGAATGGCTGTCAGTGTAACATGTGAAACTTCCAAAAATGGATGTGTTTGTTACTTCGGTATTGTTTGGTGGTTAATAGCTATGTACCTTTGGAGTGCAGGAATTGGAAACAAAGTGAAAGCTACAAGCAATATGGCACCAATAGCATGATGCTTTACTTCACTCCAGAACCCTCTATGTTCCTCATACTCTGCAAATCAGAGTTAAATGGAGCACGTACTCTGCACTAATCATTCTGTGTCTGAATTTCTTTTACCTTCAGCTGTATTTATTATCCTATGAAAGTCTTTGTTGTGTATTTGTCACTGAGAAAGGAATTGGCCCCTGTTTTGCAGTCTGCTTCACCTGTGGTGACAATGCCCATGCTTGTCACTAGGGTAGGCCATGCTGCTCTTTCTCTGTGAAACACAGCATGTCCTAATCAGTAATATGAACAAGTATTTTGTTCAGGCACTTTCATTCTCATTTTGAAGGTAGTTACGTAAGAAAAGCACTTCCCGACCATGCCACCTAGGCTGCTGTCTGTGGAGTCCAGCAATTAACCACCATGTGGTCTGACCCTGTTGCCTTAGCAGGGAACTTCATGTCCCCAGTTAAAGAAAGGATGATACACAGTATGTTTCTGAAAAAGTCAGTATTTCAGCTAACACGCCCTCAAATAACGTGAAAAATCAGAGGCAGAGGCACCACAAGAAGGAAGCTCTCTGTGGGAGCTGCTGGGCTAAGCTGTTTCTCTAAGTTTTTTTTCTTGTAAAATATTTCCTCACATATTTCTCCTACATGAATACTACCTGCATGCACTCAGTTGAATTGCATGTTGGTTTTGGTGGTGGTGTTCCTTGTTAGTTCATGGCTAGACCAGTGCTTAGCATGCATAGGTTGGTTTAAAACATTTATACAGGGATGTATGGACACATCTCAGTTCCCATTGCCTGTTGTGAAATCTCCAAGCATGCCTTTCTTTTTAATGGCTAAGCAGTTTTGAATGTTATGGTCATTTTTCCCTTGCTGCCCTTACTTTGCTGCCATTTTTACATGATACTGCCTTATGGATGCTTCTGTTGGTCTTTTTTCCTTTAATCATTTGCCTAGTCTTGCATGTAGAATCACCTGTACATATAACCATAAATGTCTACATATGCTGGCTTGTAAGGTTGTATTGAGAACTTCAACTCAACCTATTCAGGCTAAAAATTTAAGAGCTAATAAGTATTTTACATCTGAAAATGAAGACTTATTTTTGCAGTTACGATTTTGTGATAGTTTGGTTTGGGGTTTGGGGGTTTTGGGGTTTGTTTGTTTTTGGTTGGGTGGCTTTTGGTTTGATTTGGTTTTAGTTCCATGGAGAAAGTCATAAATTGAAAAGAATGTATCCAGAAATTAATAATCACAGGTTTAAGTTTGGTTTGGTTTGTTTTTATCTTGTCTTGCAGGTGTAACTCCTGTGTGGATAGTTGTGACCATTCTTATAGGATCAATGTTGGTCGTTGTGATATCTGTTCCTGTCTGTTTCTTTTTGGTTTTGTATCTGTATCGACTCACCAAACATGTTTTCTGTCCTTCATATGTTTTCCCACAACACTTGAAAGAGGTTTGTTTTCTACCTAACACAGTTAAAATTGGCAGAAGCGGTTGCTTTTCAAAAGCTTTCTGCGCCAAAACCTTTAGAGCTTCTTTTATTTCACCTTTTTTCATTTGCACCTGATTGTGAGCCGTCTGTAAAGTGCAGGCTGTTCTGAGGGGGGGATAGACTAGAAGGAGCAATGCTGGTTATCTGTTGTCATACAATTGTGTACAGTGAAACTCACTCTTCTGCCAAACACAAAAGCCATTCAAGTGAGTGTAAATGATGAAGTTGCGAACTTTAGGAAAAGCTGACAAAGGAAGGTACTTTTCTGTGTGAGAAAGGTAGTGGAAGTTAGTTCATTTAATATTTAATTTCTGGTGTTATAAGGTCATGCATTTTGTATGTATGTTATATTCCAAGTTCTGTGGAGCTGCATAGGCGTAAGTAGCAGTGATATTAGACTTCTTTTTGAAGTGTACTGATGTGTAATAAACTCTAAAAAACTGTCATCTTGAACCGTTCTGCACAGAATGGTCCAAAATGTTTAAAGCTGAACAATTTAAAAACCTGGCATAGGCTTTTATTCCTAAAGTAACTGCATAATTTTCAACGTGAAGCTTTCTACGGTTTAGAAACAAGATGTTTTCTTTCATTTTAAAATGAAGAATAACAGGTGTTAACCTTCTCTTCCTCTTTTGAGGTTGTAAACAATTGAAATAGTCTCCCCATCTCATTTTAGACTCAAAATTGCACATTGAAAGGAGGTTCTTTCACAAACACAGTAATGAGTTTTAACTTCAGTGAAGAATGTAGTGAAGTCTGAAGGTTCAAAATCAGTGAATGTTAGCCACTACTACTGGGGAATACCACTGACCCTTGTTACCCATATAGCAACATAAAAAGGTTGTATCAGAATCCCCTCCAAGAAACAAGGCTATAAAGATTGTTACATACGCCAAAGTTAGCAGCTGTGCTGAATTTCATAGAATCATAGAATAGTTAGGGTTGGAAAGGACCTTAAGATCATCTAGTTCCAACCCCCCTGCCATGGGCAGGGACACCTCACACTAAACCATGTCACCCATTTCCTGCAGTTTCTCTCATCCTTCATTTTGACTTGGAGTTCATCAGATGAAGGCTTTGCAGCAGACTTAGCAATTGTCTTGCACTTTAAGTTGAGCGCATGCTCAGTGCACAGTGAGAACCCGGAGCAGAGCTGCTGGGAAGGTAGCATTGCTCTTATCAATACAGGATGTGGTCAGATTTCATTTTGCTCACAAGCTTCTCACAAGAAAGGGAGAATTTTCATTTTGTGCTGGTGGGTTATAAAGGTAAATCAAAGTAATCAAAGTCAGTCGTGCCTACCTAAAATTACATTTATCAAAGGCAGTGGTTTCACTACATGAACATTTGAGATTGCAGGTTACTGACAGAACATTTCAAATCACAGTTTGCTAGAAGAAGGTCTAATAGTAACATTAGGTTATTATTGGGGGGGGGGTGGGGTGTATTTTGTAAATACAATGAGCGGGGCTCCTGATAGAGCATCTTGTTTCTTATGTAAAATATGCTAAAGTAATAGACAGGGGTCAGGTTACAAGAACACAACACAGTTGTACTCTTCCAGCCACTAGCATTAAAATGAATTGCCATTTCAGCTGACAAAGCAAGTGGTTAACATGTTATTACGATGTTGAGTAGGTGTGCAGTTCTTGTTGACATTCAAAATGTTGACAGTCATGACATCCTGTGAAGTCCATGTTGATTCTTGAGGTTCCATCTTACCAGTAGAACAGGGAGTGGGAGGAAGCTGTGATTTTCTGGTACTAAAATTAAGTCATTTTTCTCACTGAACTGCATAGCCTTGCAAAGTTCCGTCCCTCACCTTTCCTTAACAAAATGGTTATGGTTTATGTTGACATTTAAAGCATCACCGTTTGATGTCTGCACAGACAGCTCTCTGAGATGGCAGGAGCAGTTCACATCTCTTGAAGCTGTTTGGCAAATCTCTCTGCAAACTACTTCACCCACAGCCAAGTCACCATTTTTAGGTTTTTTGTTTCCAAACAAAACCTAGGTTTTTGGTTTTTGGTTGTTGTTTTTTGTTGGTTTTTTTTTTTAAGAAAGTTTATATTCCAAAGAAATCACTAACACCTAGGATATTTTCTTGCAAATAAAGGCACTTCTGCCTTGCTTCCAAGCCTTGCACAGGATGTTAAAGTGAGCAGGCAGGTTATTAGGTTGTTGCCGCTCTGAGACTTCTTAGGATTGAAAAAAGCAATTGATGTGTGGAAAATAATGTAAAACATATTTCTAAGCAAACAGGATGGTATGGCTGGTGCCATCTAACTCTCATTTCCTCTTCCCTTCACAGTTCTTGAACAAGCCTTCCAGTGGTTCACAGATTTTTTCTCCAGTCCCACAAGAAGAGCATCTCTTTTATGACAAGCTAACTGTCATTTCGGAAGAATCCAAAAGTCACAGTGATGAGAGTGGAGATGAAGCCAGCAAGACACCAGAGCACCTTCAGGACTCTGAACAAGAAAATTCTGATTCAAGAATAGTATCAGTTTCAGAAAAGGCCTGAATGCACTCCTCATACTTCACTCAGACCAAAGGAAAATCAAATGGTCTGTTGAACTTATCTTCTACTTGCTACAGTCTTAAGACAGTAAAAATGAATACATGAAGATGTGTACACAGACTTTTGACAGACATACTATTTTTTTGAGTACAAGAAACTTGACTATAAATGAGGAATTAAGCAATACATAATTTTTGCTACTGTTTGTAGTGGCTCACTTTTAATTTGTAGCAATACCTGACACTGTCATGACATTAATTTAATGAGCAATTACATATAATACTAGTTAATTTAACTTTGATGAACTATTTATTGCAGAAGTTAATAAAACTGAAACTTTATATAAGGTTTGTAAAAGAAAATCCTATTTTGTAAAGTAAGACCTGATCTGACTCATTTTTTATAATGAGAAATTGTGTGTATTTCTTAAGGATATCCCTAGTGGTGTGATCTTTTTATTAAATGTTTTTTTTACCTGATGCAAAGTTGTAAAGTTATTCTGATGGTATGAACTTGGTATGAATAAACCAAACACAAATACTCAGTGTGTTTTGCAGTGCAAGATGTTACTCATATCTCATTGCTAAGGATAATGGGAGTGTACCGGTGGACTGTTTGATAGCCCTCCACGTTCAGGTATTGCTCACTCCCCTGAGCCTCTGCCCCCCAGTTTCTATGGCTAATTAAATTTTGGCTGCCTAATCTAGAGTCCAGTGGAAAACTGCAGTTAAAGTGGGAGTTAAAAGGTAGGTTCATTTTATTTATCTACTGAAACATCGTCTTAGTTAACAACAAAAGAAAATCCAGGTTGATGTGACTCCCATATTACATAATATAATCTCATTGGCATGTGAAGGTTACATCCATGCTAACGCTGGGGCATAAAGAGTGACCCTTGCACTGTGTACTGATTTTGTGATGCGAGTCTTTTTGCGTGTATTATTACAGCAAAAGAGAGTGAAAAAGAAAATTCTGTCAGCAGAAGTAACGAGTGAAGTTGTGCGTAAAGCATAATGTTATGCTGGCATTGCAACATTTTGGGCTATGTTTTTGAGGTTTGTTAATTAATGCATGCATACACGCTTCTGGGGAACCATTGCAGGAGAAAACATGAGGAAAACAGGCATTGATTCTTTGTACCACTTTGTAATCTGCCACGTCTTTCCTGCACTTGTTGATTTTCATCATGTTCTGGTTCAGTGTGAATATGGAAGAAATGAGGAAGGATTTTCATTTCAGTTTTTCTTTAAGGCATTTGTTTCATTGGTGCTTTTCTTCACATCTCACCAAAGCTGCTCTGTGAGTGCTGATCCCAATGACAGTCAATGTCCTGTGTCTTGTATGCCTCTCCACTGCAAAAATTCAGTTCCCCATGTGTTCCCTACCCTTTCTACCACAGTAGCAGCTTATTCTGTGAAATGGTTTTGGTGGGGTTTTTTTGGCTTTCAGAAGACAAAAAACACCCAGCATAGATTGTGTGGCCAACGCATGTGCTAGCTAGCTGGCCAGCTGCTGCCAGAAGAGAAAAGGGTTGAGATTTCCCTGCCTTTTCCTCACTCTTTTAGTAGAGCTGCTTTCATCTATCTAGTGGCTGATTTTCATAGAAGAGCAGGAAGTTGTTATCTATCAAGTGTGGCTGAAATCAATCAGCTGGTTCAAAGGCTATGATGACGGCATAGACAAGGCAGTCCCACGTGATTTATCACTTCATTACAGGTTCAATGGTAAGCCAAACTTGGGGAGAGAAAAAAAAAAAAAAATTGGCTATTCCAAGAGAGAGTCTTTTTAGATTAAAGCAGGAAGAATGTGTGCAACAACATCGCCTCTGAACTTTTGAAAGGTTGGCTTCTCCCATTTAAAAAGAGGAAGCGTTTCCCCTCGTGTTTGCCAATACCAATTGTGCTATCACATGAGAGGAGAGAGAAAGACTGTTCTCAGAATGCTGCTTCCTCTTTCAATGCATCAGACAAGGGGAGAAAGGAAGGATTTGTTCTGACCAGTTTCTTTGTTTAACTTTTCTTTGATATGGAACATGATGTCTCTAAAGAAACAGCTGCTTTAAGTTTATGTGAGCCCATCTTCAACCTATATAAGATCTATATCATTGTCACAAAGCCTTTATATAGTGAATTCCAGATTGCAAAATATGTAAGATTCCAGCTGCACCACAACTAGCATAAAATAGGAATGAATTCTGCAACTCTGTATCTCAGTAGGTTGATGAAGTTTCCAGAAAGACCTGCACAATCCTAGCAAAGGTTCAACCCTCAGGCATACCATGCTCCAGTTGTCTGAGGACATCAAGCTGACAGAGCTGTTAGACTACGCTGTCGCTGGTGGCGTTCTAATGCAGGTAAGTTGGTAAATAAAGTTAGGAAACTATATGCCACACAAAACAAGAGTGAAGTCTCCAATGCAGAATATATGCCTCTCTGAAAGGGCAGAGAGACAGCCTGTGATTGTCTGGTGCCAGAAATCTTACTTCACACAGAGCTAACCTTGCAGTCAGGGCATCCTGCAACACTGATATCTGTTTGCTTGTCTGCTCATCCTTTGGTCATATAAGCATCCAGCATGCGCATTTGTGAGTGCAGTGAAGCATTGTTAGTTTTCCTGGTTATAAAGGAATTCAGAAGTAATATTAAATAATGATTTGACTTTTGCAGTACTGTGATGAATGCTTTGTTGCTGACTTCTCACCTCAGGTCAAATCACTTGGCTGCACTGTCCTTCTCACTCCCTCAGCTCTTAAATGAGGATTATGTTATGCAGGTACCACAGTGATGGGAGAGACAGATGCCTCCTAAGTAAGCAGGCAAACACCATGTGAGTAATGACAGAGAAAGCAGGAGAGGGGCAAGGCCTGTAGCTAATGTACAGCACCCGAAAAATCTCAGCAAGATCCTCTTGAAGGGGACAGGGGAAGCTGTACCTACAGTGACTGTTAGAAGACAAGTTAACTTGCTGAACCAGGCAAGGTATTTCTTGGATAACTCCAACGGTCTTTGCTAAATTCCACTCTTCTGACCTCAGAAGAGGGTTTATGACTAAAATAACAGCAACAAGCTGTACTTCAGAGCTCCTACGTGTGCTGCTCATTGAGACCTGACTTGCAGTAAACATGGAGCAAGTTCACCTCCAGGCATGATCCACAGCAGTTGAAGGAACCTGACAGACAAATGAGGTTGTTCCTTGCCACAGAGCAATCAGTCAGATTGAACTGCAAATTAGAATGAGAAGGGATATTGAAATATTTTGGAAAACTTGACCTGCTATTATGTAGCTTTCCTCAATGGGAAGTACCCCAATCCCAAAGAGAATAAAGTCTCAAAAGCAAATTTTTTAACACATGAAAAAAGAAACAGGGGAGGGAGGGAGAAGGCACACATCTATTTTTATGAAGTGGGGTTTCATGTAAGCACAGGAGTCCAACCCCACTTTGTCCAAGAAATGTAGAAATAGCGTCCAAACTTCCAAATGCAGTCTTGGGAAAGAAGTGGAAAGAAGCAGGGTTTGGTTTGGTTTGGTTTGGTTTTTAATATATACTTCACTTTTAACATTTTGAGCTTCCAAAACTATGTAGAAAAACTATCACTCAGCTGCAGAGTATCAATATATTCGCAAAAGTTTGCTCTAATTCTTTTCAATGAACACCAGCAAACATTGTGCAAGAGGCAGAACCAGTAGGTTATATTTTGACTTTAGTAAGATTTTTCATAATATCTTACAAGATACTGTCACAGACACATTAAGGAGTAATGAATAATTTGTGCTATGTCCATGACAGAGATGAAAATAGTTAGAAGACCACAAGAAGACAGAGGTGAGGAAAAGTTTTCTAATGATGAAAACAGAAAAAGTATAGGAAATATTGCCTGAGAAGTGGCATATTAAAAAAAAAACCAACCAAACAAAACCTACAAAACCAACAGCTAAGCCCAAATGAACATTAGGAAGGGGGGAGATACAACTGATCCTGCCTTGAGCCTGTACAATGAAATCCCTAAGGTGCTTCCTTCCCTGAGCTTATGTTTCCGTGCTTTTCAAACAAGATGAAATGCTGTATTTCCTTCTTTAGAAACTCATCATTTTAGTATAACAGTACCCTGTACCTTTCAAGAATACATTTTGCATAATTCCTACAGCCAGCTCTTACCTTCAACAGGCACAGATTTCCTCCCACTAAGATGAAAAAAAAACCAAAAAGCACTAAGTATATATCTCAGCTTTTAGCACTTCACAATAGTGCTGGTAGTCACGTACACTCAGTCACCAAAATCTTCAGATGTCCAGAGCCTTCCTCTCATCCCTTAGCAACTGCTGCCAGCACAGCCCATAGCCCTGCACTCCCTACCTTGGTCCCAAGAGTCTGTGGGAAGCTGAGAGAGACCCTATGAACCACTCCGATAGCAGCAGCCTGCTCCTGGTATTGCTCACATCTCTGCAGCAACAGGCTGCAGGTGCAGAAGGTGTCTGTCCAAGTGTTCCTGTGTGTCTTGCATCAGAAAACATGACACTTCCATGAAACAGTGAACCTTATGTGCATGTTTTGCACACATGGTCTGCACACATACAGCAAATCCAGCAGCCCTGGGAAAGGGAGGAATGACCCTTGAGAGACACATCTGCTGCTTGTTCACAGTAATGACCATCTTATGATGGGAAAGAGCTGTCTAGCGCTGCCTCTGTTGGACCCCATAAGGGTGTACTCCTCCTGATCTGGAGAAGCATAGCATCAGTGATGCACAAAGTGAAGGCCTGTTTGGTGTCAGCAATTAACACTGCAGACATAAGAGTGTGCCACTTGAGTTCCTTCTCAAGGAAACTGCCAACCTAGAGAGCCCTAGTTCTTGTGAGGAGCACAGCCACTCGAGATCACCAAAGAACTGTCCACAACAGACTGCCACCAGAAAGGCTTGTCTCCTGAAAATGGCATGCCTGATTCCTATGAACTAATAAAAGGTTGCCATTTCACCCCATTTATCAAAGAGCACTGACAGTACAACTGCTACGCTGAATGTTGCTTTGAAATCCTCCTGTTGAGATTGCAAAGGCACTTCAGCAATGCTCCTCTGCTGAGTTGAGTTTTTTTGCAGCTTCAGAAAAAGGATAAATAACAGCCTTTGTATCAAAGAGCAATGAGTTTACACAAAATCGCACAGGAAGTTGTGGTGAAGCTGACAATACTTCACAGATTATGTCCTACTTTGTTACCTTCATCACAACATGCTTTCTCCTCACTGACTGTCCACTGACTATGTCATAGGATAATCATGAAAGATATGATGGCCCACACCAAGTGGTACGTCATAGGCTATTATTCACTATTATTCTGTTAC